TTTGAAATTAAGCTGCGAGGTCCCTGGATCAAGACCTTTTGATCCGAAAATACCCCTCGCCTGGGGCACTATTCACTCTGGCATATAATGTTCAGTTTTGCGAGAGCTTCCTTTCCTCACCTTGCCATTCTGCTAAGAACGTCTGCTCCAAGCTGTTTTTCGAGGCTTCTAAAAATTTTTCTCACGAGTTTCACCTTTTCTTGGGCAATAATCCGTTTCTCCCTCCCTCGCGCTGGCCGCTCAAACCTCCCTTCCAAGTTCGTGAGTCTTGCATGACATTCCCATAGAAGTTGGAATTTGCTTGTTTTTAGAACGAGACATCCAGCTTCCAAAAAACGGCCCGACTCAGCACTCACATATCGAGAATGGAGCTAGTTCAGCAAAGTTCTTGATTGTCTTGCTCGTGCCTCTTCGTGGTGGTGTTGGGTGCAATTTGTTTGGGAGTTCTTTTTTTGTCGAGCCGCCGGCGTGAGAGTTGAGGACATGAGTTACAGACGGTTTTGGAATTGGGGGTGTGTTTATTCGGAAATGAACTATGGAATTGTTGAGGCATTGTAAGGGTTCGGAGGAGGACGAACGCAACGGCAATCTTTCTTAAAAGAGAAAACGCGGGCTATAATGCATTCGAGAAACGAATGCTTGAATTACTAGGTTTTGATTAACTCAGTAAGAATTCCACTCACACGTTCCACTGCAGTTGAAATTCGTAAGAATACAACAACCTTTGATGCAGCGACACGTTGGCCATGCATGTATGAGAACATGAACTTTCGGCAATCCATGTCTTCTTAGCCCTTTCATCTTCTTAGCCCTTTCAATCTCCCGGACCATAGTACTAATTGACTGAAATCGTCAGGTATTGGAAAGAATTTGGGCACAAGTACCAATAGAATCACGAAGCGTGTAAGTGGCAACAACATGTGTCTCTGCCGGCATGTTGCTTAAAACTATCAGAATTATTAGTCCCGCGAAAAATGTCTGCATCAAACGTTTCAGGAATTTCTGGCCATTTTTTCGCAATGCTGGCTAATGTTTCACTCAGTAACATTACCCTCAACCATTAATCAAAAAACTATTAATCAGCAAAACTGCGCCTCTCAAAAATGAATTTTGGGTATACGAATTACCCACAGGTGAGTAGGATAAGGACAAGAATGAAGTGACGCCTTTGACCGATCCCTTTTTAGGATTTGGGGAGGATTCTACATCCATTCAGAGATGCAGTGGCTTACCGATTGCATTGTAGCTTATACAGTGCCTTGAGGTGGGGGAGGGCAAGAGAACAGATAGGGGTGCAGCCGATGTACAAGTCAGTATTCTTACCCTCGGATCTGGTACCAATCCACCGTTCCGGTTCGTTCGGAAAGTAGAAGGCTTGGGTGGCCTGGGCGAGAGCCGATCTCTGAGCTTGACCCCCGATTGTGCGCCTGGTGAGCGTGTTCCTTGTCACTATACTACCTCCGCCTCACAGATAGGTACTGTCTTCTAGACTGACCAGGGCACATCATTAGCGATTTTGGCCGAATCCGTACGACACCCCCCCCCCTTCCGCCATCTGTCCCTCCTCATCGAGCTGTCGAGCGGTGGGGCGTTAATAGCACATGTGAAAGAGGAAAATCACGAAAAGTCGGCCACCTCTGCCAGAAGGCCAGAAAGTAAATACGACCCCTCCCAACAATGAGCAAGTACGACCCCCCCCCCTTTTACAACGTCCGTGAAGCGAGAAAAATCAACTATCAAAATAAATTTTTCTCAGCCCAAATACGACCCCCCCCTGTTGGGGATTCCCCAACAACGATGTGCCCTGAGACTGACACAATTACTACTACATACTGCGAACGCATTCTATATAATGGCTTAGTATTTACAGAATGAGGGTTAACGCTTTTCTACGGTAACATTAGGTCCAGCTGCATAGGCCTTGAAAGCAATGATGAGACGGAAAGTAATCTATAGTGTTTACAACCTCTCTTTCGTGCCTTAATATGATCAAGAGCTGAAAGAAGAATAAAAAAGAGTGCACACTGGAGCGTCGTTCAGAACGAAGTCGATTGTTATGGAGTTTCAAGTCTTTCTCGCCAGAATTAACTGATTGTACCAGTCGTATCTACCGTCTACCACTTTCGCGATGAGTGAGAAAACTGTGCTCAGCCGCAGGTCAACCAAGCCTTCTGTCTTTCGGATTCGAGACAGCTAACATCATCGCTGTGCGAATACCGTGAGGGGGTCCTATTTGGTCGTTAAGAGGAAGGTGGTCGTATTTGGCTTTGAAGAATTTTGCAGTTCTGGAATTCTGGAGTTTTGTCGACTGCTGTTTTCTTCCTTTTCAGGGCGCGCCATGTATGTAACAGGAGGAGGAACTATTATTTCTGATATGGAAATTGAAATATTGTTTCGGAAATGTCTATATTTGATCCCCTTCCCCGTTCCTTTGACGGCAAACTAAGGAGCTTTCAGTAAGGTAGTATCTTGCCCGTGGAAGGGGCCGTACCGAAAGGAGGGGATCTTACGAGCACCGTCATTTCATCTGTATCGTTGATGAACCCTGCCTCGGGGTCAACTGGCTCAATGCCCATGGGAAAACAATGCCCCTGGTTTACATTGAAACTTTTGTGTTGGTCAAGAAGCGCTACCCTACGTCTGTTTTCAAGGAGAGCAGGTGAAACATTTCGATGGAATTGATTGACACAGAGCACCATTTTTTTACTCTCAGCCCCCTTTCTTTTTATCCTATAAAGTTAAGAAAGAGATAGGAAAGGCATAGCAGTAGTTCCTTTCCTAATATTCCACTGAAGTACCGGATTTCATAGTATTTTCTGTGGATGGCAATGTGAGGATCTCTCAGGGGAAGTACTATTACTTCCATAAAGGAGCGGTCACTCCGATTGAGCGCGAAAATCGCCTTCCGATACTAGTTAGTGACTGCGTAATAGAATTTTGCATGACTCGTATCGCATGACGATTTCATGTGATTTGCCGAATTTCCCAGGACCACAACGGCCACGGCTGGCCGCCACTTTCGGGTCGTCTTTGGGTGGCACTCGATTCCATGGGCATATGGATGAATAATTGATGCTATCGGAAATCAGCACAGACGGTCACGCTGTCCTCTCGAATCATGGATACCTCCATGAGATATACTGCTTTAAATCTGGAGCAGTCATAGTAAAAGATTTACTTACGAACTTTTCCACGTTCAGAACCACTGGCGTAATGATGCTCGTTCAACCTCAAGTTCTGCGTGATTCCGTTTTCCG